CACAGCCATTTGAATCTAGTAGTAAAGTTGATGAAATGGAAATTTGATGAGGTACAAACATCTCAATGTTTCATGCTGAAGCTGTGATGGCAGCAAGAATTCTCAGCTTTCTGTCAGTGCATAGGTCCTCTTCTACACATGCTTCCCAGGGGGAGAAAATGAACTGCTTTTTCCTCCTATATATATTTATTCCCCTGAGCTGGGAGCCCTGTCTAGTATAAATCTGGGATGTGTTTGTAATTACACTAAATGTGAAACTACTTACAGTGAGTTTTTTTCTCTCTCACAAAAGATACCTTTAAAGGGCAGGAAAAATCAAGTCTTATCTCAAGGATGTTAGCCTATTGTAAATACAGCCAAAAACTTGGGTTGCATTTGTAACCCTAGTAGGAATAGCAGTTAGAATTTTATGCCGTTTGCAGACACCACAGAATGTAAACAAAATATCACCAAGTATGGAAGAGAGGTCAATATTCAATTTAGGTAGGATTAATACTATGGAAAAGTGTTCTTTGGGTAAAAAACTTCCTAGCCTATAAGGAGGCTAATGATTGTAGAAGAAGCTTCCTCCTAAAAGCTTTGGTCTTGTGTTCAGTCATCTCTCTGAAGTGTAGCCTCAAGTTGCCTTGGTCTTATTTTCTTTTTTTAATTTTTATTTTGTTGTGTGGTTTGCATCTCCTATGGTAGGACACCCATTACTTGCAATAGTAGCCTTGCCAAATATGTATGGAATTCTCTAGAACCTCTGGACTGTACAATAAAGTGAAGAAAAAGGGCTGTTAAAGAGGCTGGAGAGGAGAATTCCATTGAGAATATTAATTTTCCTTTGGCTTTCCAAATAATCTGGATTCCTGGAGTTGGGAGTATACGTCCATAGGTAAAGCTGTAGCGTGCAGAGGACAGGAAAAATAAGAAAGCAACAGAGAGAAAGCAGGAGAAGAGCTGGAGTATAATAGCAGCGAGGACAAGTGAGTGATTTTTCCATTTCAATTTTTATCCCTTTGTTCTTTTATTTTGACTTTCATGGTCTTCTTGTTTTCCAATTGTCACAAAATTTATAGTATTAGAAGCAAATAAAAAAAAGCCACAAACCCTGGGTTTTTTGTATATTGTACAGTAAGATTAGTCTAGAGCTCCAGGAACTGTCCTGAGTTACCAATACTTAGCTTGCACTGATTCCTTCTTATGTTTTCTTTGAAAAAAAGACTTTTCTAGAAAAACACATGACAGAAAGAAATTTTGAATTTTTAGTTTTACTCAGGTGATTAGTAATAAAGCTGATTTTTAAAAATTTATTGGAAGACAGTTTTTTACTATTAAGTAAAAAATCATTATGCATATCTTAAGACCGAGTCTTAATGATATGCATAAGATTAAAAATATGGGAGGCAACTTAATCTGGTATTTGCTCACAGTGAACTGATGCTGTAGAGTTGAGGTGAAATATAAATATATCTGTATGTGTGTGTGTCTGTTTGTATATACAGTGGTCTGTGCTTTTAAAGAACAAGCTTGACTTTGGGCAAAGTCAGCTGAAATGGATTTCAAGTATAGTATTTTATTATGAGTGGAGCTGCCAGTGCCACCTGTACTTAAGGTTGTGTGACCCTTTCCATTTTAAGGCTTAACTCTTGGTTACTTTGACTTTTGCCAAAGTCCAGTTCAGACAGATTTTTCCATGCGAGATATCTGCTTTGGGTTGAATTTTTTGAAAGTTTCAGGCAAAGCAGTTCTGTTCCAAGAACAAGGCTAGTGAAAAGTATGCTGTTTTGCTTGTGTGAGAATATTCTGGTGTCCTCCTTTGATGCTCCAGTGCCCCCAAGCTCTAAACCAAGGATTTGAAATTTGGCAATAGTTCAGCCTTTGTGTTGAGGATGTGCCTTTTGCCTCCCTGTAAAAATCCACCCAAATTTCCAGACCAGTTTACAAGGCTTTGAAAGATTGCCATTTGCATGGGCTTAATAGGAATTTCTTAAAACTTCACAGTAAGCTTCCTTTAGATTCTGTTCACACTGGGAATGCTCCAGGCAGAGTAGAGCTGCATATTTCATCCCACTTCTGCTAGGAGTTGTGACGGCTGGGTCTGGGTGCTGACATTGAGCTAGGAGTGGGCAGCATTGTGTCTTGTATCACCCCTGCCTGTTCCCATGTCCTGTTCCTTCTCCCTGGTGACGGACCTGGGCCCTCTGGAAAAAGAAAATGTTTCACTCATCTGAAAGAGCATGACAGATGTGGAGGAGAAGAATTTGGGAGAGTGTGTGTGTCTGGTTTATACCATTCCTTTGGTCACAGAAAATGTGTGTATCATACTGGCAAAACAATACTTCCTTTTCTACTGAGTGTTCGTTTTGGTTTTGTTGCATTTAAACCTCAGTAGCTGAGTGGGTATCAAGGTTTTAATGAACTATGTGAGCATCAATTAAAAAAAAAAATCTCAAATGTCAGTACGGGAAAGTTAGAGGGCAGAAATCAAGAGCTCACTTTTTTCAAACATTGAAGTCTGACATTTGCATTTATTACACTCTAGCCTCCAACTTCATCACAAGTGTTGTGTGTTTTGTCCAAGAGGCAACTGACTGGAATGGGGAAAGGGGCCTATTCTGAGGATGAGTCCAGGATTTGTATGAGTAAAGGTTGTGTATTCATCTGTTAGGGAAGTTGAAAAATGTGGAGTGAGGGAAGCTGAGATTTGGGGAAATAAAAAAAAGTCTTTGTGGCTAAGACAGTTCAGTAGTGCTTGATGAATAGTGTGCTGTCTGTGCTCAGTCCTGGTGTTTCTGCAAGAGGCACTCAAGTGGCTGTTCTAGGTGGCTGCTCAGACTCTGTGTTGTGGCTAGCTTGAGGACTTGTATCCCTTTGCAGAAATGCAGAACTGCAAGTGGGAGCTAAACCTCCTGTAAAATCCTGTATTCCACTTACGACAGTAAAAACCAGCTCAGAGTATGTGAAGTCTGACATCTGGAGCCAGGGAACCTTTTAGTCTGATTAACCTAATGCCTCAGTTGCCAGTTTTACAGGTGAAGGAATGACTTGTCCCATCTTTGTAGAAAGACTTGGGGAGAAACTTGTTGCCTTTGTAGCAGGACTGGAAAATAACTTGCTGTAAATTGAACATAGAACCACCTCCTTTGATCAGGGATGAAACAAAACATTGGGAAATATGCCATACTTTTATCTTTTCTACCTTTTTTTTTAAAGTTCCTTAGTGTTAACTAATCTGTTTCATACTGATCTAAGCATACAAGTCTCAGTGTCTTAGCTCTTGAACTCAAATTTTCCACTTCGAATTAGCAGTCAAAATTTGTAAACACTGAGGATAATATTAAAATGCTAGTTTAATTAGCAATAGCCTTGTAGTTCTCTTCAAAATCACAGTCACTTGACCTTAATAGTAGTTGAATAAAGTGTTAGGAGGATCCTCCTCCTCTGTTTACTATGAGATGGAAAGCATACTTGTTTAAGCTGTTTACTGCCACCTCACCGTGATAAATTTCCCCTTTGTAAAGCTGCTTCAACAAGACATCTATTTTTTATCCCCTTGTAAAGTCAGCCATGACGTAAAGTTTCCTATGGAAAAAAAAAAATTAAAGTTGTTTGAAAGGGACAGTGCTACAACAAATAAGTGACTGTGTGTTTGTGGAAATGTCTAGCTCCGAGAGTGAAATGATTTGCTGCTAAGGTTTAGTGAATTTAATGCTTGGAAATAATTTGTTGGAGAGTCTGCAGCTGTGGAGAGTTTTGAGTTGTGGTTATTTGTTGGGTGTTTTTTCCTTGTTCTTTTTTTTAAGGTGGAGGTGTAAAAGATTTTTTTTTTTCTGCTACTTTAAGCTAAAGTAGTCATCAAACTTTTTTACTTGTTTATTAGGTTGTTTTCTCAGGGTTGTTGTCTGCTGACTCTGAAGCAGTAGCTCTCAGATGGGTCTTTTGAAAGCTTCAGCATAAACAAGGCATTTGATAGGATGTACCATGCAGTATTTTTGGGAGACAGATGGGAATTTTGAGCTGCTCAAAGCACATATATCTTCCTTAGGGGAACTCAGCTGCTAAGAACAGCACTCTTATTTGCTTAGCTGTGTGAATCCACTTGCTGGTGGACGATTGTTTTGTGTTTTGTTTTCTTTTCCCCCCGCAGGACTTCTATTTACTTGTGTGCTCTTCCATGTGTGTTTTGAGCTGTGCTTTGAAGTTGGGCAGTTAGTTTTAAACAAAAGCATTACCATGCTCTGCATTGCAACCAGTGTGATTTCAGCAGTCTCTCGTGTCAGTGATGTGGTTTAGAGTTAAAAAATATGCTGTTCTTTGCTTGCCTTGACATTGGTTTGTGTAGGATTAAAATTGCGAAAGAAAAAGTCATGATATCACACTGTGTATGTTGTATCAAAGGCAAGTCAAATGTGATTAGAATGTGATTTAATGGCTGTGCAGCAATTATTAATTGGTCATGATACATGAGATGAAGTTTGAGGTATCTTCTGTTTTTTCCTCTGTCACTTTCCTTTTCCTCTTCCCTAGTCCCCCCAACAATCTAAGGAATTTCTGTAAGCCCAGAACTTTGTGTGCATTTGGTTTCCTACATAAGTCACTCTAGTATATTGTACTTTTTAGAGTGCCTAGATAAAACAATGTAAAATGCATATTTTGGCATGTTTGACCATTGTTCTTCAGTAAGAAGGTACAAATGCTACACTTTTACTTTCTTAAATGTATATTGAAGTCTGTATTCTGTTATATTGATTTTTATTTTAAGGGCATAAAATGAGGAATAAATTCTGAAAGGCAAAAGCAAACACAACTGCGGACAACCAAATTAATTTGTATACATTTACATGAGCAGTAAATTAGCTATGAGTATTCAACTATCGTATTTCAAATTATTTTGAAAAAGTAACTAAAATCTGAATAACAAGACTTCTTTATTAAATGGGTTTAATATGTGATAATTTATATTAATTATGTGAACTATTTCTGAATGTTTTGCTCTTCTGTCTTGTTTTTGGCAGCAACTGGAATTAGTGGAACCCAGTGGCTGGATCCATGTTCCTCTAACAGATACCCACAAGAAGCCCATTCGCACCTTTATGATCCAGATTGCTGTTCTAGCGAATCACCAAAATGGAAGAGACACTCACATGAGGCAAATCAAAGTGTACACCCCTGTGGAGGAGAGCTCCATTGGTAAATTTCCCAGATGTACAACAATTGATTTCATGATGTATCGCTCCATCAGATAAAATTTCCTCATGAGGAACAATAAAGGTATTTTTTCATGACGGTATCAGTGCTAAAGTATTCAGATACTTAAAGAGCAGGGTTTACTTCAGTGTAATTATATGTTTATACTTTGTACAATTTTGAAATAAAGATAATCTTGTGTTACAGTATGTTGTAGTCTGTAATTTTGTTTCTTTTTCTAGGAGTCTGAGTGCTCTTGTACTCTCTGAGAGAAAAAAAACAATCCAGGCATTCTTTAAATAATGTATTTGACTGGGTGGGAATCAATAATTTATTTGATATAATACAGATATTTTGGGGGATGATTTCCTCCCCTAATGATCATGCATGGAAATAGTTCATTCCTTTACCTGAAAATGGCTCTTTAAAAAGTTGCACCTCTTCTTGAATGGACATGATCTAAAGACATTACCAGTAGTATTTTCCCAGTATTGCTTGTGCTAATGGGTTGTACCCTTTTCTCTAGAGGGTTGTTTCTGCTCAGTGGCTGTGTGCATGGATTTAGCCTTCTTCATAACTCCAAAGTAAATAATAGAATTGCAAGATATCTCCAGTTGGAAGGGATATGGAAATACCATTGAGTCCAATTTGCTGTTTCTTGCAGGACTACCTAAAACTACTCCATATGACTAAGTGTTGTCCAGATGCTCCTTGAACTGTAACAGGCTTGGTGTCATAACCATTTTCCTGGGGAGCTTGTTCAAGTGACTGATAAGGCAGTGAAGATGACATTGACATAGAGAAAACCAAACCTTTCAAATTATTCAACTTAGTATATACATTAATATAGATACATTGAGTGTAGGTCATCTAGAACATGATAGCTGTTGAAAATAGGTGATTTAGGAATGCTCTGGCATCCTATAGCCACGTAGGAATGAATGTGGCAGTCCAATGCACCTTCTAAAGTACTGGGAACTTGAGTATAACACAAGTAATCTCATGTTCAGAGCACAGAATTCTTTTAATGTGTGTTTTAAATAAAGGGCATTGCAAGGAAAATGTGTGCACTGTCTGCTTACTGTGAGTAGCAGTATTTAACACCTCTACTAATGTCTCATAATCTAATCACTAGTTATTTAAACTTTTTAAAAAATGCATAGATTTTAGAAAAAGACGTTGTTGAAGTACAAAGGTTTCTTTTAAAGTGTTTGGTACTGATCAAACCCATTCTTCCTCATAGCACCAGGAAAGTTGATCATCAATCTAGACTAATCTCAGCCAAGGAAAACTTTTGTCACTCTTCTTGTATGTGAGCAAGGAAAGGCTAATAATAGTGGAGGCTCATCAAACAATGGTGCATCATCCTGCAGAGCAGAAAGGAGGTGAAATAGAGGAAAATGGGAAGGTTATTGAAGAAGGAGGAAGATTTTACTGTTGAAATTTGTTTTATATACTTGATAAAGTTGTTTTCTGAAAAGTTTTATCTGTGACTGAATTCCACAGTATTTAGGGGAGGGTCATTAAACTGGGTGTTTCCTGATAAAAAACCTTGTAGACAAGTGCATGACTAGTTTGGGGTTTCTATTTCAATGTGAATTCAATCATTTCAGGAGGACCTTAATGGAACTTTACCTTTCCCCCTAGAGGATGGATCAAGTGCAGAATTCCTGTTCAGCAGAAGCTGGCTGAATTTTTGCCTTTCACCCAGTCTGTCACTTCCGTGGATTTTCTTATCTAGTGTCAGGGAGTTGTATATTCCCGTTCACTTAATTAAAGCAAGTAATGTACTTTTCATGTCCACTTCATAGTGTTCTGCTTAAATAACCAGTGATATACCTCTCCTGGATTTATCTAGTTACTTTTGCTAAGTTATGGATTATTTTTAAGAAGGGAGATTATTAGGCATGGAATTTCCCTGGTTTTCTCCTAGCAGTTAAGATGGCAGTTATCCATCCTAGCTTTGCATCTTCAAGCCACTGTTTCCTACTTAAGGATTCTACCACAGATAATTCTCTGGTAATTTTGTGCTTTGGTCAGTAACATTTGTCTTTTCATACATGTCACTCTGCAAGTGTTATATCTAGACTAATACTGCTCTGTGCCAAACATTATCCAGTAAGCTGGGAACAAGCCTGTCAGCACAGTCCTGTTCTTCTTATTTCTGTCCTTCCATCAGTAGGCATAATTTTTGGATCTTTAGAGAGCTAGTCTAGCTTTTATTGATTTTTTTTCAGGACATAGATGCTCATGCAGGATAGTGGCCAACATTTGTGTCAAAAATTTGGAATTTTTATTTCTGGCAGTGTCATTGAATAAGCTGAAATATAGCTTGACTACTTATCTTGCTCTTCTGAAATTACAGATTGTGTTCAAGTGGTTTTAAGAACCCATGATACCCATGGTAAGCTGGGTTATGTCAAACTTTACTGTTGGGGAAGGAATCTGTACTTACTTGCAAACAAGTGCAGTGGCCATTCTAAATCCATGTGAAATCTTTTCTGTGTTGTTTTGTAGCAATTGTAGATACATTGCGTTGCATTGGTTTTTAACATCTGTGGAAGTACATGTGGTTTTTAACACTTTCGGCACTTGGCTGCATAAGGCTGCTGACTTTTAAGTGATGAGATCCTAGATAAGTGTATCTGAAAATAAAGCAAGTTGCTGCCTTTGTGTATGAATATGGTACTTAGTATTTGAATTGGGATAAACAAACCGGGCTGCCAAGTCATTCAGGAAGGTACTTACACATATGTTGTGTTTAGCTGCTGCTTCTTTTCCTTGCTCATTGTTTTCAGACATGCAGTTGCCTGGAATCTTACCACTTTCTCCTTTTCTCTTGTATAAGAAGCACTTGATAAAGATCAAGTAGAACAGGTAATACTGGAATAAATGACAGACAAAATGGAAGATGGATTTGTCCTAAAAAATCATGACTTGGCAGTGATCTGACTCATCACTTCAAATAGTAATAATTTAGGGGTTTTTAAACCTTTTCTTGGAAGGTCACTAGGCCTTTCTGCCTCACAAAAAATAAATTTGGTTCCCAGTGTAAGTGTAAAAACTTTCCTTTTAATTCAAATTTAGCTTATTTCCTTTGCAGACACTAAGAGGGAGGCAACTGAGTCACCAGGATCTTGAACTCCTGTTGAAATGAAGGACTGTACCTGTGTTTTGACTAAGTCATGTCTGTGTGTCTTCTTAGCACCACTGTGTAAATAAAAAAGGCAGATGGCAGGAGAGGGAGAAAAGAGGTATTTGCTGCTCCTGGTTTCTAAAATGGTGAACAGCAAAACATTTATGTTTTGTTTAAATTCACTAGGGAATCTCTGGCAGAGCTGGATGTTGAAGCCATATCATCACTGTCTATCTTCTCTTTTCACTGTGAAGCTGACTTTCAGATAATGATCTGGCAAAAAGGCAAGCTTTTCAGTAATGCAATTCCTGTATGTAATTCTATTTAAAAGTTTAAACTGCATTTTGGGTTCTGCTGTTCTGGTTTAGTCTGTAGGGGAGATCCTTTTGCCAGCACTCTGACTATAGATGCACGACTGAAAGTCTTCAGCTGAGCCTTGGTGCTTGTTCTTACCCCCCTGAAGTGAGTCTTACTGTTGGTAGTTGTTTTTCTTCACCTGTGTTAAAACAGTTTAAAGGAAGTAATTGAAACATTATTTGGGCTTGAAATATGTTTATATATTAGAGAGAGACAGGTACTGAGATTGCCAGTACTGAATAGCAAAACTTCATGAATTCAGGCATAATGGATGAAGTGATGGAAGAGACTGAAGGACCATGGAGAGCTACCAGGATTGGGAAGGCAAATTGTTGCCTCACCTAATAGGAAAAGCCACAGCTCTAGGCATTAGGTCATTGGCTGACAAATCCCCACCTTTCACACGGCAATAGGCAGCAGTAGTTGTAATTGCCTGGACTCAAAAACTGCAAGTGAAACAGGTGCTCAGGCAATTCATGTCACCTGAAGTGAGTCAGGGTGATAAGACTGGACCTTGTAATTAGAGCTGAATTGTACTACTTCACCCTGTAAAGAAAGGAGAGCCAGAAGCTACTCTGGTAAACTTCTCAGGAAATTCCAAAGACTTTAGCCATTTGTCAACCATAAATATGTGTCTTTCCTTCAAAAAGGGTGAGTGGGTTTTTCTATAAACTGTATTTTTAAGATGGGTCTGCTTAGTAATACACAAGAGTTCATTGTTCTGCCAAGGCCTAAATGAAAGCAGAAATGGTCGTCATAGTGCTACTGTGTTTTGCTGTGTAAATGAATTATGGAGATAATTTTTAGTGGATATTTTTCCAGAATTTACCAGTAAGCTCTGCAGCTTTAGGAGAATCTATCTGAATCCTTTGGGAGCACTGGATGACCCAGACTGACCTCAGCATGTGCTTGCCTGCATGGGGGAAGCAGAGGTTTGGGCTCTGAAGGGCCCATGGTTATAACAAGCAATACAGTGCTGTGCTCTCAGAGCCTGACTTGTTTAATTCCTGGTAACCTTTGTGCTCCTATTCCTAAGTTTTGTCATTCTGTGTTAATGGTTAATTAATATTGATGCATTGATTACAAGAATGCTTTGCATTCCTTTGCACATATATACAAAAATAGCTGTTTATTTCATGTTTAACTACCACATTACTTCTTGAGTTAAATGCAATAGTTATTTTCTGGAGTATGAGATAAAAATCTAAATGCAATTAAAATGTTCATAATATTAAGAGTATGTCCCTCTAAAGCTGGGATTGCTGAGGCTTCTAGGCAAAGGTATTGGGTGGTCTGCTGTTGGTTTGGAATACTTAAGTGTTCTGGTTTAGATCAGAAAGGTGTTAAGGTGCTTTTATAAAGCTGCATAAAGCATCATTAAACATTGTTCATGGAAGCAAATTGAAATCATCCTTCACGTGATATACTCGCTGTAACTCCAGGCTGACATTTCAACGAGCTGTTTTACGTCAGCCTAACAATTGCCTGTGACAGTTTCTCCATTTGCACCAAAGAATAAACCTCTCTTGCAGCAGTCAACAGTATTAGCATGGTTTAGTTTAATGGAAGAATGGGGAAAAAAAACCCCAACCCCAAGTAATGAAAATTATGCTAATACTTGATGGAGCTAGAAGATATAATCCAGATGTAATTATGTATTAAGTGAGAAAGTAAGCTTGGGATCGCTGGAAACATTAAATACCTGAACTCTGATCC